GGGGGGGGGGGGGGGGGGGGGGGGGGGGGGGGGGGGGGGGGGGGGGGGGTGCTCATGTTTTGCACGCCTTAGCGGTTAGACCATTGACCACGCGTCCTCGAGAGGACGGAGTAGTGTATGTACAGGACCGATCACCGACGGCCAACCGTTCCTTCCTTCTGCTGTACTTTCACAAAGGTGGCTCAAAAACGTTTTCCCTAGCGCATCTATCCTATCAATATCACTTTCCGCCTTTTGCGCGTGTGCGGCGGGTCAGGATGGGGCAGTCGTACAGTAGTTTTGACGGATGATTCGGCATGACAGCGCGAGGGGTGCAACCATAACCACGGGCGATTCAAGGAAAGCAAGGTCGGCCAATACGGTTGACTCATTTCTCTGATCCTTCCTCGTTTACTTTCGGCGCGAAACAGCAGACGACAACAAGAACGACGTTAGGGGGGGGAAGGAGTTCGAACGTAGATACGCGTGGCGGTTTTTTGCTCTGTCCTAAGAAGAATGAATTCACGAAGACCAACGAGTGCCTCGCCAACCGTGGAGTAACTCCCTTCTTCCCGTGCCCATGTGAGTCACACCACCGACCTTGGTCACTATACATTGCTTCAACGGCGTCCCCCTACACAAGTTTTCACTTCAACAACCGAACAGGTAAAATATACAACAACCAACAAGAAGATAGGAGAAAACGATCAGAAACGGGGGTGTCCACGCCACACCGGTACGAGCGCCTCCGCCCGCCACATTCGGATTGCAATGACCAAGAACAGAGGAGGGCCGCACGGAACTTTCTAGGAATTTACCTCAAGCACATACCTTCCGCTCCAGCTCGTCGGGGTCGCGTAGGTAGAAGAAGGTGATGATCGTGGACAGCATGAGGGAGAATACGGGGAACATTGCCCCTGAGAAGGCCGTGGCCGTGAGGGACAGGTACAGGTAGCCTCGCTCCGGCTTACCCAGCGCCCACAGCCGGTTCCGCTTCTCCCTTGACAGCTTGGCCGCCTGTACGGATTGGCGATTTCGAGACGGAGCGCGCGTGCGTCGTTTGGACCGGGGTGGGATTGCACACGACGTATTCGAGGCATGTTCTGTCGTTCACATCGACATTTGGGCACGCTTATCTTTCGAGGAGGAGGAGGAGGGCTGCTCATTGCCACGCCGTAAGAGCAAAGGGGGAAAGTATGATGGCGAAAAAACGGCGGTGAAGAAGGGGTCAGCATGACAAGCAGCTTCGACCAAAGGTTTTCAATGAAACAAGCCCATGCAAATACAACAAAAAACAACCCAAGCACGCGTTTGACCGTGCACCCTTACAGCAGCTTTAACCCCAACCAAAAAGAGCGACATTATGTGCGGGCAGGCGCCGAATACGGCAGTACGTCTTGACGCCAGGAGCACAAAACACACACACACACACACACACAATTCGTCGATGTAACCAGCCTCTGTCGCACGGCAACGTGGCAAAACTGGAATAACGCATGTGTGAACTTTACTTTATTCAAGTGAATGTAATATATTCAATACTGGCTTTGGGGGCGACGTTTATCACCTGTTGCTCGGTTCTTGTTTCAAGAAAACAACCCCCCATCGCATTGAGATGTAAATGGTCTAAGCCACAACGGCAAGCGTCCCACCCCCCCCCCCCC